TAGTCTTGTGTGGACAATGAGGTAATTGTGTTAAATACCCTCTGTCATGAGGATTAGGTTAGTTGTTCCATAGAAAGAGTTTGAGACAGGGCTTACGCTTAGTAGATAGATATTCAAAGAAAATAGCTCTTGCCAGTATTAGTTATTGAGTAAATTAATGAACAAGTGACTTAAGCTTATCTGTTCTTTAAGGCTCAGGTCAAAAGCTCCCTTCTCCATGCGGTTTTCCCAGATCCTCACAGTGAAGGGATCTGTTTCCGACTTGCTGTGCTTCTTAGCCTGAACGGCTGTGTGTGCATATACTCACCCCTGTCTGGCCCGGAAGCCCTGCCATATCTTATTCATCCTTTTGGCCCCCATGCTCAATATAGACAGTAGGCACCTTGTACACAGTAAGTGCTCCATGAATGGGCAGGATGAAGGAGGGGAAAAAGGAAGGGGCCCCTTTGCTTTCTAACCGGGAGGAGATACTAAGAAGTAAAGTTAAATTTGGGATGGATTTAACTAAAAAACAAAAAACTCCTAACCACTCTTAAGTTCAATTAATTGTGCATTAATTTCTGCTGGGCCTGAATCACCATTTCAGATCTATCCATGCTCCTTAGTTTAAAGTTCAAATCCATGCTCAAGGCCCAGGGCATCTTGCATGTTGGTTCATGTGTTAATATAAAGTAGTCCTTCAGTCCTTCCTCTCCTCTCCTCAGCTCCCTTCCCTGCATCCATCCCTTTCTTTTCTTCTCCCTTTCTTATCCTCTTCCTTCCCCTCTTCCCTCCCCACCCCATGGCTTTCGTTTCTTCTAGCCAGGAAATTTTTATAGACTCTCCTTATAGAAAGCCTGCCCTGATGGAATGCCTAGCACCTGGAGAAGGTGAACGGTTAAAATGCTTTCTGGAGTATCATGTCTACTTGATCTTGTCTTTATCCTTGCACCACCGGCTGACCCTGGAGCTGCCCTTCAGGAACCTAGCTTGCCAGGTGGAGCAAATAAAAACACAGGACACCCGGTCGCATTTGTATTTCAGATGAACAATAAATAATGTTTTCGTGTAAGTATGTACCCAGCAGCATTCAGATATTCACCGGGTGTCCTTTATTTTTATCTGGCAGTCCTGTTGGAACCCCTAGGGCCAGGGCTGGCTTGTGGGGTGAGGCCTGTGCAGTGGTCCAGGGCCCCATGCTCAGAAAGGCCCATACCTGGTTGAGTGCTCTGCTCTTACCATCTTAAAATTCTTAATTTTTGAACAAGGGGCCCTGGATTTTCATTTTGCACTGGGCCCCAAATTATGTAGCTAGTCCCACCTAAGGCTCTTTGGAATATGATCTGGGACCCAGGGCCATAAGTACTGCCACTTTGAACTAATCCATTACCCTGTGTGGTACAAACCCAAGTGCGGCCCCGCACCCTGGATACAGAATGGATATCTGGTGTTTTTTCATTAGGAATCGTATTTTTCTATTCTAATTGGCTCTAAGTGTTTCTGCCTTGGCAGCAAACCCCAATTGTTAGACCTTTTAATCCAAGTCTCACTGTATCTAGCATAAATCAGTGAAATACTTAGTGTGTGAAAATGCTAGTGGCTTCATAGATGCCTTGAAAAGTGATTTGACTTGAAAAAAAAAAACAAAACAACCTTTTATTGGTGTTACATAATCAGTGCTGTGTGATGGAAATGATATTCATTATAAATGCACGTTTATGATGTCACCATCCTGTACAATTGTTAAAACTCATAGTTTCCAAATGTTGGCCGTAGATGAACTTGATTCCTCCTGCAGATGGGATCTTTTTTAAAAGAAAAGAGCATGGCTGTCTGACTGTTCAGTTCTCTTAAGAAAGGTGCTCCTGAGCAGGTGTATAAGAAAATAAAAGAGAATTCACATGTTGAAACCAAGAGCCTTGATTGCATTAATGTACACAGCTATCATTTAATAAAAAAATAAAATAAAATTATAAAAAGAAACCAAGAGCCACAGGAATGCCACCCATAATCACCTAGAAAGACGTAGTGTCACAAGTTGTCTTAAGATAATCTGGTATTAATTAGAACACCAGACTTAGCTAAAGATATAAGAAATATTTCACTTTACAAAATCATCTACTCTTAGGTTCATTTTAAGTAATGAAGTCTCTACTAAATCTAAAACATTTAATGAGTAAACATTTTCTCGAATTTCCTGGTTTTGATCACCTATTCTGTGAGAACTCCCTTTTAAGGGAATCTGGGTGATGGCTGGATTCTCTGTGCTATTTTAACTTTGCAACTTCTGTGAGTCTATAATTATTTTAAAGTAGATATTTAAAATTTTACACACACACACACACTACATAGTACATTATAAGAATATTTTCATGGCATGGCCAGGCTAGGAGGTGACCCATCTATCTTTATCTCCCCCTGGTCATTTATCAAAAAAGTCCTGAATCTAGAGACTGTAATACCCAAATCCCGCAGTAGCTGATTGCTTCAATCAGATTGCTTTAATCTTTCACCAAGGGGGCATCAACAGCAGAAAATAAACTCATTTTTAAAATCATGTTTCCTTGTCTCATGACCTAGAAAAAGAGCAAAGATCTGAAATGAGTAATTTGCTTTCCTGATGTTAGCCAAGACCCAATTTATCTTTCTTTTCTCTTAAGTTTAGCACCCAGACTTGATTATCGTATCATTCTAATTTTAATTCTAGTTAGAGTGAGTTCACTTTCCCAATTTAAGTTACTTACATGGAAAAGACGGAAGTAGTGACACAAGGTAAAGGAGATTATCAAGGAATTGAACACACCGGATGAGATACTGGGAACAGGAAAGGAATTTATTCCTTCACTTACTCAGCTCCCGACTCTGTGTCGCATGTTGTCTGATGGTGTGAGGATGCACACGCTCTGCCCTCCCGGCTCTCAGGTTCCAGGCTGCACAGATAGAGTAAGCCAGGAAACCAGTTGTGTTCTGTGATCACTAAATAAAGTGAGGAAAAGCTATGGAGGGGCAGGAATCAGAAAAAGTAATGTGTTAGTGCTTGTAATGATATTTCTTTTATGGCAAGAGAGAGACTGAGTCAGAGCCATCTGTAATTGATTCTCAAAAACAAAAAATAGAAATGTTAACTCTAGTGTTGTGTTAGTTAAACAACTTGACTGCTCTATCATTTTAATTCTAGTTAAAGTTAATTCATTTCCCCCATTTTCTCTAATCCTGGCAGTGTTCGATGTTTGGACTTATTTTGTAGAGCAGCAGTCTTAAAATTGTTCATATCCTTTGACCTGTAATATAGTGATTCTCAATCCCACCGAACCTAATGCCCTCTTTTAGATAGTAAACATTTTGTAACACTCTCTTTACTAATCCAGAAATAAAGTTGTGGATTTCATAACCTATCTGGAGACATAAGTTCAAGAATTCAAGACAATACTTCAAGGAAAATAAAGGAAAGTAATTTATAATAAAGTAAACACAAGCACAGCGAGACATAACCATGCCTGCATGTATACACAGAATTATCATGACAACCTCAAATGCAGGCTGTGGCCCAGGCTTACGGACCAGCTGCAACCAGGAACGTTGTGGGTTACCATGGCAACAGAAAAGGAGAGGATGGCTGAGGTACTAATGTGCTGGTCTAATCAGCACCCCTAACTTCAAGGGGACAGAGCAGCTTAATCATAGGCCTGGGACTGGGAGAACCTGAAAACTTTGGTGAACCTGAGTTCCGCACTCAATTTCCTGGGATGGCCATTTGACAAGACCCTCGGCATGGTGCAGTTCTCTGTTGGTTGAAATCATCCCAAGCATTGCATGGTTGGCTCTGTCCACCAATGCCAATAAAGCTACCCTAGTTGCCTGGACAGGTTTTCAGCCTACCTCTCATAGGTGGGGTAGCTTTCTTTAAGAACCTCTGTATCAGTCAAGTTCATGGAGATTTATTCTCAGGTAATAATCCAAGAAAGGATGGTGCTGTTTGCCTGACTATATTGAAATCAAGATTATTAGGACAGTGTAAAATGAGAAACTACCTGAATATCTGACCAAATTGGTAGTGAGCTATGATTCATCAAAATGAAGAAAATTATATAGCCATTAAATAAACAGAATCCTGTACAGCAGTGCAAACCAAAAATATCACATGATATACTATTGATTGAAATCATATATAACACATATTTTATGTGTTTTATATAAAAACATGTATGCATATGAAACAAATAAGAAATACTGTGAATTGATAGTTGACAGAGAATGAATCAGCTATCTATTGATTTGTGATAAACTGCACTAAAAGTTACAACCACTTGTGATAACCATCTGTTAGCTCATGATTTTGCAGGTCTGTAGTTAGGGCTAGGCTCATAGGGTGTGGTTCTTCAGCTGGCCTTGCCTGGCTCACTCAGGCTATGGCAGCAGCACATGGGGTGTTGGCTGGGACAAGCTGGTCCAAGGTGGCCTCGCCCACACATCTAGCAGTTGCTGCTGTCAGCTGAGCTTTCTCTGCAGTGGGCTAGCTGTGGACATCTCAGTGTTTTAGATCCAAATTACAACTTTGAAGCTGCTGGAGGCGGACATTGATAGAGATTGTTTTATTTGTGGATTTTAATACCATTTTCCAAAGGCTTAATTGACCAGACAATGTCAGAGGCAAAAAAGAGAACAGACCAGCTATCTGAAAGGCAAACAGGTTTTATCTGAAGTGTCAACTAAAATACTTACTTGGTCCCAGAACCAGTGGAAAAGACTGATAAAGGCAGGGAGAGAAAAACAAGGAGCTTTAAGTATAATGAAGTTGCCAAGGGGTAGAATTGAAGGGGGTGTGATAAATGCTCCACATTTGCATTCCCCTCTGGCATATGGAGCGGTGATGAAATCGAGGTCCCTATGAGGATGGGGTCTTATTTTGGATTCCTTCCCAGGAGTTTGCTTATGGCCAATAGGCCTTATCTAGATGCAGTGTTTGAAGCCTTTTTTACATTGCAGAGACATGGTTGATGAGTGGTAATTTCTTTGCACAGATTGTGGGGCGGGAACTGCTGACCCAATATACCAAACACCATGAAGAAAAGCCATTCTCTGGCCTGCTCCAAAACTGGGCTGAGTCTATGGGTGACAAGCTGAGAACCAGGTATGTATTGCTCAGACCACCATCGTCACTTCAGTGTCTTAATATTGAACCTTGGCTTATAGAGCCTTGGCATAGGACAACTCACTCTTGTTTGAAATTTTAAATATTTGATATGTGCAAAAAATTCATATATACATAAAAGTGATGCCCATGTACTCGCTACGGAACTTAAACAGTAAGACATTGCTAGTTCTGTCTTTCCACTTGTGTTCCTTCTTAATACTTCTTCACTATTCCAAGTGTTTTAATTCTGAAACCTCCATGATGCTGGTTCTCATTTCCATCACATATGAGGAAACTGAGGCACAGAGGTTATGTATTTTGCTCAAGGTTACATGGCTAGCAAGTGGCAGAGCTGGGGTTTGACGCCAACCAAAAGCTTGGTTGTTTCTATTGATCTTTTTGTACTGTCTGTTAGCTTTATAAATAAGGTATAATATGAATGTGTGGTATCCTGTAATTCAATATATATTGTTTCACCCAAATTGTTATGTGTAGCTGAAGAACTGCTCTTCACCGTGGTCCATAACATTCCACTGTGTGCATATGCTACAACTTCCTTACCCACTCGAATCCCCAATATTAGTGCACATTTAGGTTGTGTCTGTTTTTTTATTTTGCACAAAGTTATTAGTGAAACTCTTGTACGTGCTTTTTGGGAAATGCGTGTAAAAGTTTGTACAGGGATTTCAAACTTAAGTAACATTACTTAGAGGAAGAATACATTTTACAGCATCACAGATGCCCACACATTCATAAGACCCCCACCTCAGACACGAATGACTGAACAAACTCTCCATGAAACCAAATGCTTACTTGCCTGTTGAGTAATACTAATGATGCTCTCTGATATTTTTTAGTTTTAGTTTTTAAGAATTCTAATCGCAGTACTTCAAACTAATTTTATGGCCCACTAGTAATTTGCAATCTGTTGTTTGAAAAACACTCCTTCAGGGTGTATGTTACTTAGGGGTAGAATTGCTGTGCTGTGAAGTATGCCAATGTTCAACTTTACTTGAGAGTGCTAAGTTAATTTTCAAAATGTTTGTATACATTTACACCCTCCTGAAGGGCATGTGTCTTGTGGAGCTGTACCCTATTCTTTTTTTTTTTGCAGTTTTTTGCCAGGGCTGAACCCACCACCTCCGGCGTATGGGGCAGAGCCTTACTTCTTTGAGCCACAGGCACTGCCGGAGCTGTAGCCTATTCTTATCAACACTTGATGTTATCACATGACTTAATTTTTGTCACTACAATATTTAGAAAAGGGTCTCTCACCATGATTAGAGCAGGGTTTCACAAGTTTATTTGACATTTGTATTTTTCCTCCTCCTTCTCCTTCTTCTCCTTCCCCCTATCTTTCCCCTTTCTCTTCTTCCTCTTCCTCTTTCTTCCTCTTTTCTTCCTCTTCCTCTTTTTCTCTTGACATGCTCTAGCTCTGCTGCCCAGGCTGGAGTGTAGTAGCTCATTGCAACCTCAGTCCACCTCAGCCTTCTGAGCAGCTTGTATTTCTTCTTATATGAAATGCCCGTTCATGTCTTTTACCTGTTTTTCTTTTTCTTTGTGTGTGTGTGTTTGTCTTACTGATTTTTAGGGGTTGTTTATCTTTTGTTGTTACAGGTACTATAATTATCTTCTCCAAATTTGTAGCTTTTCTTATACTTTCTTTAATGATGTCTTTTGATTAACATAAATTCTTAAATTATAATTGAATTGAAAAATCCTTTATATTAACAATTTTTGTACCATTTACTCTGAGATCATGAAATCTATATCCTTTAAAGACTGCAAATTTCACCTTTCACATTTAATTCTTGAATCCACCAGAAATTTTTGTCTGTGGTTTGAGGAAGGGATCTAATTTTTTTTCCCTCTCTTAAGGGTTGTCAGTTGTTCTAACCGTATTTACTGAGTTGGCCATACTTCCCCAGTGATCTGCCATGTCCCCTTAGGCATTTATTAATTTTTCATATAGCCAGGCACAGTGGCTCAAGCCTGCAATCCTAGCACTCTGGGAGGCCAAGGATGCCTATAGTTCCAGCTACTTGGGAAGCTGAGGCAAGAGGATCACTTGAGCCTAGGAGTTTGAAGTTGCTATGAGCTAGGATGCTGTGCCATTCTACCCAGGGAGACAGAGTGAGAATATGTCTCAGTAAATAAATAAATAAATAAATTTCCATCTGTACCTATGTGGGAGTCCATCTGGGGGCTATTCTGTCCCTATGCTGCTTGTATATTCTTGATCCAACAACACACTGTTACCCTGGCTTTATAATTAAATATTGCTATAGTATTATATCTGAAATATAATTCAGAATTGTATTGGCTATTCTAAGTCTTTTGTGGCTCTATATAAATTTTTAAATAAGCTTATTAAGTTCCTCAAAGACAAAACGAAAAGACAATTATTGTAGCATTTCACTTACATGAAGCACCTTGAGTAGTCAGAGTATTGGTTAGCACAGGCGAAGAAGAGGAGAGGAAGGGTAGTTGCTGTTTAATGGATACAGAGTTTCAGGCAGGGATGATACGAGAGTTCTGAAATAGGATAACAGTGAGGGCTGCACAACAGAGTGAATGTACTAATACCACTGAACTGGTTAAAATAGTAAATGTTTGTTGTGTACATTTCGCTAGTTTTAAAAACCTATTGGAATTTTCTTTGAAAGTGTGTTAGATCTATATATCTGCAGACAACTTGACATATTTATAAAACAGAGCTTTCTCTCAAATAATCTTCAAAGTGTCCTGTCATGTTTTACAGTGTTTTTCTGTACATAGTATGACCTTCATAGATTTATTACTAATTTATATTTTTTAATTAGAATGTTTTAAAATGATTTTTGTTGTTACTGGTTTATTAAACATGCAGTTGGACTTTTGTATATAAATCTGATGGTAAAAAAAAATATCTTTTAAATGTGTCTGTAGAATCTTTGTGTTTTAAATTCCATAGACAGCCACTTCCTGGTAATAATTTTTTATTTCCTTGTTTAGAATTGTTATTCCTCTTATTCTTTTCATGTCTTATTGCAAGATCTAGGACCTCCAATAAGATTTAAGTAGAAGCCTTCGTAGATGTTCTTTTGTCTTATTGCTGGCTTTAAAAACATTGGTTTAGTATTACTCTATTATGAATGACATTTTCTGAGGTTTTTTTTTTTTTTTTTTTGGCCGGAGCTGGGTTTGTACCCGCCACCACCGGCATATGGGACTGATGCCCTACCCTTTTGAGCCACAGGTGCCGCCCATTTTCTGAAGTTTTTGATAGACACAATCTATAATACCTCCTAAAGAATTTCATACATTTTGATGTATTTTTGTCCTTATTAGTTGAATTTTATCATATGATGTTTTTGCATCTATTGAAATGATCTTATGCTATTTCTACTTTATTAATTTGATTAATAATCTTGGCAAATCTAATGTTAAATTACCCTTATGTTCTTAAGAAACACTCAGTTTTGTTTATGCTTTATTGATATTTTTCTGAATTTGGCTTGTTAATATTTTAGGGGGGAGGAGACTGTTGTATACATATTGCCTTATTATTTCCCATTCTTGTATTTCCCCAATTTCAGTTTACATCAAAGTTTTACTGCTCTCCTAGAGTAATTTGGGGAGTGGTTTCTTATTCTGTGGAAGAATTTCATAAATTATTTGAAAATGATCTTGGCCTCGGGGAATATTTTCTACTATTTATTTAATTATTTTGAGACTAGGTTTTTTTCTTCCTGTGTCAGTTCTGGTAAACTGTATTTTCCTAGGAACTTATCCATTTGTTTTTAATTTAGTGGTATCAGTTTTTTTCTTATGATTCTGTCATTATCCTTTTGGCTCCTACTCTATAGTTGAATTTTCATTTGTCATTCCTAAGAACGTTTCTTGGGCCTTTTCCTTTCCTTGTTTTGTTGCTTAATCTCACCAGGTGTTTTCCTGGCTTATTATTATTTTTCTAACAGCCAGCTTCTCCTTTTGCTGATCCTTGCTGTGGGGGTACCTTTGTTTCTTATGTCATTGATCAATAAGTGTGTTGTCCTCTATTCTACTTTGGGGGAGCTTGCTATGTACTTTTTTTCTTTTGTGTTTTTTTAAATTATTGATTTTATTGAGAATGGGATTATAGGTCTGAACAACCCAAATGCATTGAAATAATTTACAGAGAAACCATGCATTAGAAGATATCACCCCGCATCCTGATTAAACACTTGAAAAACACAGTAAGAATGGCCTGGGACTTTTAATCACCATCAGGACGTGCTTCACTTTTTTCTTTTTTAATTGCTGCTCCTGTTCCAATTTATTCAAAAGGTCGTCTTAAAGCTTGAGAACACGAGCTCCCACATTCTAGGTCTGTGTCGCTGAAGTCTCTCTCAGTTTTAATGTCTCAGTTTTTTTTTTTTTTCTCACGTGCTCTGGACAGTCCATGTATCTTTTTAATATTTCTAGCCTGGAGTAGGAATTTTATAGTACTAATGGCTTTCCCCTCAACTTATTAGTTTGAAAATTGTCCAACACATAAGGAATTGAAAGAAGAGTACAATTCCCCACCAGAATCTGTTCCATCCTTTCAGGAAACTGGTTCCCCGACTGGCCACAAATCATCTGCCCTTTCATTTCTTTTCCAGATAGCCGAGCAGGGCTTGTTTCCATCATTTTGAAAGCACGACACGCTCTTGCCCATATGCAAATCTATATTCCTAGCACATTTTCCAGGACAGATTTGAGAAGTGCCAAAGGCAGTATTCCAATTGTAAATATTTGGAAAGTTCCAGTTCATTTATTTTGGTCTTGGTTATTAACCTCCCAAACAGTACACATCTCTCTCCCACACATCCAGGTTTTACTTGATTCAGTCTGTCTGTGTTTATCCATTTAAATCCCGCAATTTTACTTACTCTGACTTTTATGTTTAAAAAAAAAAAAGCCTTTGCCATCCAACTTATTTTCAGCACTCATTGTGTACTGGTACTTCTCTGTGCGTTGCTGAGACACAGGGATGGGGGTCCTCTGCCTTTGTGGAGCCCACACCCCAAGAGAGCAGCAGAACAGCTCTCATAGTGATAACTCCAAGGGAAGTACCTACAAGCAATTGGGGACAAGAGGAAAAATGCACTGAGAAGGTCTCTGCACCATGAAACTCCTTCAGGGGGCAGCGTGTGTGTGGACACCCCGAGGCTAGCCCTCCCTTGCACCTGGAAGGATTCAATCATGGTACTGAAAAGGCTCCTTGAGACCAGTGAGGCAGATGGGGCTCGGCAAGGAGAAGAGGCCTAGAAGGACGTGGCTCCGCACACTTCTGCCCTTGCCAGTCCCTGTGAGGGATGCCTCTTCCCCTCCCCCAGGGGAGCCTGCCATTGGGCCCTCACCACTCTTGTCAGCCCACAAACCCCAAGGAGGTGGTGGATGTCGAGAAAAAGAAAGTCAAGATTCTGCATTGCATTCTGTTTTATTGTGCTTTGAAAATTCTCAAATCTTCAGCAAAGCTGAAAGAATTTTACAGAGATGATTCCTAGACCTACTGTGCCACTCTCCTATTCACAAGTACTGTACTTGCCACATCAGGATTCCATGTGCAGATGTATCCATCCCTCAGCTCACCCATCAATTCACCTTTTCTTTCTGATGCATTTCAGAGAAAACTGTAGACTTCAGTACTTTTTTTTTTTTTT